ATCTCCTCCGCGTGTCTTTGCCCTTGCACGGTGGGTGCGTATTTTGGAGTGGGCGGACATAAATGAGGTGTGCGAGTGGCGATGGTGCGGCTGCTGCGGTGTGTGTGACGTGCGGCTTCGAGTGGTTTGTCTGTCATTGTCATCTCTTAGTGTTTTTTGTGTTACTCTTCTCACCCTCCTCACTTCTCTCTCCCCTCGCTAGACTGTGCGTGTGTGTGTGTCTTTGTTGCGGTGACAAGAGTGGGGATGGCTGGCCGTGTGCTGTTGGTGTGTGCCCTCTGCGTGCTGTGCTGCTGCGGCGGTGTCGGTGCGTGGGGTGGCGGCTACTGCACGGAGAGTGACTGGAGGGACTTGAGGGCGGTTGCGAGGGACATGACGGAGGCGGAGATTGAGGGGCAGTACTGCGGCCGCAAGCCGGAGTTTGTGCAGCGGCTGCGGGCGAGTCTGCAGGCGTCTGGAGATCACAGTGAGTCTCATACTGAGCAGGGGGACAGCATTAATGAGCGTGGCAGTGATACTCCCACAGGGCCCAAAGGAGATTCAGGTGGTGGTGTGTCTACGGATCAAATTAATGACAGAAGTGAGTCACGCAATGAGGGAGAGGCGGGAAAACCAAACTCCACTGAGGTTCAGGGGAATCTTGGAAAGGCATCGCCATCACCCCCATCACCACAAGTGCCTGGAGCACCACCTGAACAAAACGAACAAGACCGAACAGCTGGGTTGCAGGAAGACATAAATGCACGCAAAACGCCAGAAGAAAGAGCTGGAGCTTCGCCCACAAGCCAACCAAACGATCCTTCACAGCCACAGACACGTGCGCAAGAGCCTCAAAACGGGGTGGATGCCACGAAACAATTGAGCAGCAGTGACGCCGAAGCCCCACCGGGCTTTTCAAGTGACACATCAGTTGGAAATAACGCGGAAAGAACTCCACCACCCATCTCTGAAACCGGAGACGACGCCCCCGGCACTCAGGCGGAAGACTCCGCGGATAAGAACTCCAAAGGCAAGACTGCGTCAGACTCCCCAGTGTCTCCACAAGGCCAGCAGGATGTTGCTACCGCGGGTGCAAAGACGAGCGGTGACAAGGAACCTGCAGCAGCAGCCGAGGGCGCCGTCACCAACAAAAACAACTCAGCGATTACGGCTGACAGTGACGGAGGCAGCGCGGCCTCGCACTGCACTTCCCCCGTTGCGCTTTTTCTCCTTCTTGCGTGTGCGGTGTCTGCAGCGATGGCGGCGGCGTGAGGGAGCGGTGCGCAGCTCGTCCTTCGCTTAAATATATATATTTCTCTCTCTTTGTGTGTGTCCTCCCGCACGGACTGTCGCCCTCGCCCCACCCCACGAGGCACCACGTAATGTGCTCATGCATGCACGCACACTCATGCAGCCCGTTGGTCTTCCTTTTTGTTTTAATTATTTTGCTGTTGAGGGGCCGCTGCCGTCCTGCTTGGCTGCATGGGTAGAGCACCGTAACTGCTTTAATCATTTCATTTGTTTTGGTTTTGATTGCTTTCGGTGGGCGGCCTTTCTTTCCCTTCTTCTTCCTGGATTGGGCTGTGCGGGAAGGGAGGGAGTGTGTGTGTGCTGGTCGTCCCACTTGCTGCTGCGCGTCCCCACTGCTCGGTGGACGGCCCACGCTTCGGCTTCGCTTCACGGGGTTTGTGTTTGTGTTTTTTATGTTTGTTGGAGCGTTCGGACGGAATGGACGGGTCGTACATTGTGGTTTGCAGCGTAT